GGTACATCAAGCCAAACAACCGTAGGGATATTATGTCATAACGAAGATATTTTCAGTCGGGTGCAGTGGCTCATGCCTGTAATCCGAGCACTTTGGAAGGCCGAGGCAGGCATATCAGGAGGTCAGGAGATTGAGTCCATCCTGGCCAACATGGTAAAACCCTGTCTCTACTAAAAATACAAAAATTAGCTGGGAGTGATGGCATGACCCTGCAATCTCAGCTACTAAGAAAGCTGAGACAGAAGAATCGCTTGAACCAGGAAGTCAGAGGTTGCAGTGAGCTGAGACCATGCCACTGCACTCCAGCCTGGTGACACAATGACTCTTAAAAAAAAAAAAAAAAAAAGATGAAAAAAAAAGGTATTTTCAGACATGATGGCCGGACACAGTGGCTCATGCCTGTAATCCCAACATTTTGGAGGCAAAGGCGAGTGGCACACTTGAGGTCAGGAGTTTGAGACCAGCCTGGCCAACATGGCAAAACCTCATCTCTACTAATAATAATGAAAAAATCAGCTGTGCATCATGGCACACACCTGTAATCCCGGCTACGAGAGAGGCTTTGTCAGGAGAATCTCTTGAACCCAGAAAGTTAAGTTGATATGGCACCACTGCACTCCAGCCTGGGTGACAGAGTGAGACTCAGTCTGGAAAAAAAAAAAAAATACTTTCAGAGCTGAAAAGACTCTGGAAATACACTGTCCATATAACCTTTGTCAAAAAAAACCCCCAAAAAACAAAAAACCAAAACAAAACAAAAACTGAAGGAAACATTTGAGCCAAATAGAAAACAAAATGAAATCAAAAGAAGACATGGTATACAAGGAACAGTGGTGAGTTAAGACGATACATACAACTGCTGATGTTACGATGAGATTGAATTAAATTAAAAAGTGATACCTGAGCTAGGAGAAAGGTAATGAAAATCGATTCTAGAGTTTTAAAAATTTTATTTTCTTTCCTCTCATTCCTGACATTTCATGATTCTTTTCCCTCATATTTGCCTTATTTCCTGGAGAATTCCTTTAGCCTGACTTTCAATTCACAAATAAGGTTTTCAGCTTTATTTAACCTGATAATTACTGACTCAGAACTTTTAATTTTGATAAGCACTTTGATTTCTAAGGAATCGTTCTTGTTTTAAAATTGTTTCCTTTATTATTCTTGGCTGGGCCTGGAGGCTTACGCCTGCAATCCCAGCACTTAGGGAGGGCGAGGCAGGTGGATCATGAGGCCAGGAGTTCGAGATCAGCGTGACCAACATGGTGAAACCCAGTCTCTACTAAAAACACAAAAATTAGCTGGGCGTGGTGGCGGGCCCCTGTAATCCCAGCTACATGGGAAGCTGAGGCAGGAGAATCATTTGAACCCAGGAGGCAGAGGTTGCAGTGAGCCTAGATTGCGCCATTGCATTCCAGCTTGGGCAACAGGGTAAGACTCCATCTCAAAAATAATAATAAATAAATAAAACAGATTATTCTTGCTTATTTGGAATACCTCCTTGAATTTATTTGGAATACCTCCTTGATAATATGAAATTTAAAAAGTTATTTTCTTCCTAAGTTTCTTGTGGTCAGCCAGGAGCCAGAAAGTAATTTTGTTTCAATATTAACTTTTGGGAGGGACCCTTTGTTTTGAATTTGTTAATTATCTTCATCAAATCTAATCATATTTCCTTTTCAGCTTATTATAAATGAAAGTCTAGATGAGTGTCATCTGATAGAACTTTCTGCAATGATAAAAATGTTCTATTCTACATGATCTAAAATGGTAGCTACTAGCCACATGTCGCTACTGAGCATTAGAAATGAGGCTAGTGCAACCAAGGGACCAAATTGTACATTTTACTTAGTTTTAATTAATTTAAGTTGAAATATAAGTAGCTACATGTGGCTGGTGGCTACTATAATGGACAGTGCAGGTCTAGATTGTTAATTATACTTGGCTAATATGGGCTCTTCCAGCAAATGTATTGATCACTATTGATTTTATTTAGCAAGACCCCACCTTTTTCTAGCCTGGGGAGTTCCATGGAAAGTGCAAAAGATGGCTGAGCTGTAGTGTAGAAAGGGACCAGGAGGGAAACCACCTTAGTAAGGCTGGCAGGAAGGTGTGTATCTCTCTGTCTTTCTGTCCCTCACTACCTCCCGTCAAAACGCTCCTATACACACACATCCACACACACAGAGACACACACACACACACACACACACACACACACACACAGAAACATACACACACAAACACACAGTGTGGTATCCAGTGGTGGCCAGCAGAAATGTTCATGCTACCGCCTTCAAGAACTCATTTGTATCTCTGTGGAGCTCTTCTTAGCTTCAGATTCATGGGTAGAGACTCTTTTAGGAATGGAGTAGAACTTTCTTTCTAACAGAGGCTGCACTGCCCCAGTAAGAAATTGTTAGTGAAAGGAAATCAAACAGAGATGCTCAGTCCTACATTGCACTTTGATAATACAAAATAATGGCACTATAAAAATCCAAAATCTGGCTGGGCGCGGTGGCTCATGCCTGTAATCCTAAAACTTTGGGAGGCTGAGGCGGGCAAATCACAAGGTCAGGAGACCAAGACCATCCTGGCCAACATGGTGAAACCCCATCTCTACTAAAAATACAAAAATTAGCCAGGCATGGTGGCACATGTCTGTAGTCCCAGCTACTCAGAAGGCTGAGGCGGGAGAATCACTTGAACCCGGGAGGCGGAGGCTGCAGTGAGCTGAGATCACTCCACTGCACACCAGCCTGGGCAACAGAGGGAGACTCCGTCTCAAAAAAATAAATAAATAAAAAATATTTGGCTTTCTTATCAATGTGAAGCAAACCCAATTTACTTGGTTCTAAGTGTTGTGATGCACAGTATATAACTATCTTCCAAATGTTTCACTAAACCATGAAATCATTCAGTAAATAAACAATACATATAAGCGATAGACCTGGAGGGAAATATTTAATACATATGCTGAATTAAAAATAGAGCCTCCAGTTGGGCGCGGTGGCTCATGTCTGTAATCCCAGCACTTTGGGAGGCTGAGGCGGGTGGATCATAAGGTAAAGAGTTCAAGACCAGCTTAACCAACATGGTGCAACTCTGTCTCTACTAAAAATACAAAAATTACCTGGGCATGGTGGCGTGCACCTGTAATCCCAGCTACTCAGGAGGCTGAGACAGGAGAATCTCTCAAACCTGGGAGGTAGAGGTTACAGTGAACTGAGATCGTGCCACTACACTCCAGCCTGGGCGACAGGGCAAGACTCTATCTCAAAAAAAGAAAGAAAAAATAGAGCCTCCAAATTGGATGCAACTTCAGAAACAACCTGCACACTAGCAATTGGGTAAAACGAAAGATACCTGCTCTTTAGGTTGAAAAAAAACAGTAACCATTTTGTGATTATTTTGCTCTTTGTATATTTTTAAGTGCTCTGTGTCACTGGTAAACTAGACTTTTCACATTATTCTTGTGTGAAAAATCATCAACATTTTCTCCAAATTCTCTACCATTTCTCAAATACAACCTAAGATAAAAGACTAAATGACATTTTTAGTCTCTGATGCCTTAGATGAGAATTTCCAGGGGATTCTACTCCTACTGAGTCTTTTGAATGTAGTTATATAGGAGAAGTAAAGGCTTTGGAGGAGATTTCTAGGTATGTGACACATATTTGGCAGGACTCGGGTTGAGTTATTTATACCTTTGAACCTCAATGTTCTCATCTGTAAAATGAAGATACTATTATCTGCCCCACAATAATGAAAGGAACACTTATTAGTATACTCAATAGTTTCTATTTTCTCCTTTTACACTTAAAAAAAATCATTTGCTATTTCTAGACTTTCACACTCCCTAAAAGGGAAAGGGAAAGGTTTTTGTTTTGCATTATATGTCAAAGAGACTTTCCTCGCCAGATGCGGTGGCTCATGCCTGTAATCCCAGCACTTTGGGAGGCCGAGGTGGGCAGATCACTTGAAGTCAGGATTTCAAGACCAGCCTGGCCAACATGGTGAAACCCTAGCTCTACTAAAATACAAAAATTAGCCAGGTGTGGTGGCACGTGCCTGTAGTCCCAGCTACTCAGAAGGCTGAGGCTGAAGAATCACTTGAACCTGGGAGGCGGAGGCTGCAGTGACAGTGTACTCCAGCCTGGGTAAGAGCGCTAGACTCCATTAAAAAACAAAAAACAAAAAAAAACCCAGAGAGAGCCTTTCCTGAAATAGTTCAACATAAACATTTACATTCAGTGAAATACTGTCCCACTAAAATTCATGTCCACCGGGAATCTATGAATATGACCTCATTAGAAATTAGATCATTGCAGATATGATCAAGTTAAGATGCGGGCCTCCTGAATTAGAGTGGGCCCTAAATCCAACTGGTATCCTCATTAAAAAAAAAAGGCATGTGAAGACAGAGATACAGAAAAGGTCATATGACTGTGAAAGCAGAGATTAGAGTGATTCAACTCCAACCAAGGAAGGCCGAGCATTGCTGGCAACAACTAGAAGCCAAGAGGAAGCAAGCATTCTTCTTCAGAACCTCCAGAGGGAGTATGGCCCCATGACACCTTGATTTCAGACTTCCAGTCTTCAGAACTATGAGAAAATACATTTCTATTGTTGTAAGCCACCCAGTTTATGGTATTTTGTTATAGCAGCCCTAAGAAACTAACACAGTATTGATTCCTAAAACAAAAACAAAATCATTTTGGCTTATTTTCCGCAGAGGTAAAAAAGTACCACACATTTTGCTATAGCTGAATGATAGATAGCAAGCAGATTTATATCCCGATCTTGGTTGACATGGATTTTTTGAGAATACATTTTAGTAGTATGTTAGTTGGGGATTATGTTTATAAGTGACCAAAAGTTAATGCAAACAGGCTTAAGAGTGTGTGTGTGTGTGGCCAAGGTGAGAACAAAGGGAGTGGGGCAGGGTTCTAGGAGGGTATCCTGATTTCCTAAGAAAAGAAGAACCACCAACCCAGAATCAACACAGCTACAGCAGGGCCTCTCAAGCCACTGAAGGCAGCACCAGCCACTGGCTTCTCCCCTCTTCCTGTACATTATCTTCATTCTCTATCTATATGCTAACTTTATCTTCTAGGTGAAAACATGACTGTCAGCAGCTTCCAAGCTTTATCATTCACAGAGCTTCCCTGAACACAGACTCATTCCATTCTCTAGGTCTCTAAGCCCAAAAAGCTAAGAGAAAGACTTCGATTAGCCTGAGTTAGGCCAGCTGTTCACCCCTGAACTATCCAGAGCAGCCCTGCAGCTGGGCCATTCCCAGAGAGAGGGATAGGAAAAGGCACTCACTCTACACAAGAAACAGCTCTAGTTTCCTTCCTTAATAAAGTAGTTTCACTTAAAAACAAAATGAAACAAAAAACACTGACTAAAATGCTAATATGAAATGAGCAACCGGGGTAAAGAAGTATTCATAATTTCAAAAGCAGACACAAATATGATTTGGAGAAGAAACAGCAGTCACGGATAAATCAAATTATCAAACGTAATACACTGATAGAGAGCTTTAATGAAGAGCCAATAAGCACATGAACTGGAGGCTTTGTGTAAGTATAAATAAAATAATTTTCACTGTTGGAATTCAATGAAAAACGGTTTTCTCTATTTAAAAGAATAAAAAATGTGCAAGAAAAATTAAGCAACCTTTTTTTTTCCTTCAGTTTTTAAGTTCCAGGGTACATGTGCAGGATGTGCAGGTTTGTTACATAGCTAAATGTGTGCCAAGGTGGTGTGCTGCCCAGATTAACCCATTACTTAGGTGTTAAGCCCAGCATCCATTAGCTGTTCTTCCTGATGCTGTTCCTCCAACAATCTCTTCCTTCAGCAGGCTCCAGTGTGTCGTTGTTCCCCCGTATGTATCCATGTGGTCTCATCATTTGGCTCCCACTTATATAAGTGAGAACATACAGTATCTGGTTTTCTGTTCCCATGTTAGTTTGCTGAGGATAATGGCTTCTAGTTCCATCCATGTCCCTGCAAAGGACATGATCTTGTTCCTTTTTGTGGCTGCATAGTATTCCATAGTGTATATGTACCACGTTTTCTTTATCCATTCTATCACTGATAGGCATTTGGGTTGACTCCATGTCTTTGCTATTGTGAAAAGTGCCGCGGTGAACATATGTGTGCATGTAGCTTTGTAACAGAATGATTTACATTCCTTTGGGTATATACCCAGTAATGGGATTGCTATGTCAAGTGGTATTTCTGCCTCTAGATCTCTGAAGAATCATCACACTATCTACCACAACTGTTGAAGTAATTTACATTCCCACCAATAGTGTAAAAGCATTCCTTTTTCTCCATAACCTCACCAGTATCTGTTGTTTCTGAACTTTTTAATAATTACCATTCTGACTGATGTGAGATATCTCACTGCAGTTTTGATTTGCATTTCTCTAATGATCAGTGATGTTGAGTTTTCTTTCATATTTTGTTGGCTGCATGAATGTCTTCTTTTGAGAAGTGTCTGTTCATGTCTTTTGCCCACTTTTTAATGAGATCATTATTGTTATGGTTGTTTTATAAATTGGTTTAAGTTCCTTGTAAACTCTGGATATTAGACCTTTGTCAGATGGACATACTGTAAAAATTATCTCCAATCCTGTAGGTTGTTCACTTTGATGCCAGCTTGTTTTGCTGTGCTCAAGCTCTTTATTTAATTAGATCCCATTTTTCAATTTTTACTCTTGTTGCAATTGCTTTTGGCATTTTTGTCATAAAATCTTTGCCCATGCCTCTGTCCTGACTAGTACTGCTTAGATTTTCTTCTAGGGTTTCTTATAACTTTGGGTTTTACCTTTATGTCTTTAATCCACTTTGAGTTAATTTTTGTATAAAGTGTAAGGAAAGGGTCCAGTTTCAATTTTCTGCATATGGCTAGCCAGTTCTTGCAACATTTATAAAACAGAAATTCCTTTCCCACTGCTTGTTTTTGTCAGGTTTGTAGAAGATCAAATGGTTGTAAGTGGGCAGTCTTATTTCTGAGTTCTCTATTCTGTTCCATTGGTCTATGTGTCTGTTTTTGTACAAGTATATCATGCTGTTTGGGTTACTATCGCCTTGTAGTATAGTTTGAAGTCAGGTAGCATGATGCCTCCGGCTTTGTTCTTTTGCTTAGGATTGTCTTGGCTATTCGGGCTCCTTTTTGGTTCCATATAAATTTTAAAATAATTTCTTATAATTTTGTGAAGAATGTCAACAGTAGTTTAATGGGGATAGCACTGAACCTATAAATTACTTTGGGCAGTAGAGCCATTTTCACAATATTGATTCTTCCTATCCATGAGCATGGAATGTATTTCCATTTGTTTGTGTCCTCTCTGATTTCCTTGAGCAGTGGTTTGTCGTTCTCTTTGAAGACATTCTTCACTTCCCTTGTTGGCTGTATTCCTAGGTATCTTATTCTTTTTGTAGTGATTGTGAATGGGAGTTCATTCATGATTTGGGTTTTGGCTTGCCTGTTGTTGGTATATAGGAATGCTAATGATTTTGCACATTGATTTTCTATCCTGATATTTGGCTAAAGTTGCTTATCAGCTTAAGAAGCTTTTGGGCTGAGGCAATGGGATTTTCTAGATATAGGATCATGTCATCTGAAAAGAAGGGTAATTTGATTTCCTCTCTCATTATCTGAATACACTTCATTTCTTTCTCTTGCCTGATTGCCCTGGCCAGAACTTCCAATTCTGTGTAGAGCCAGAGTGGTGTGAGAGGGCATCCTTGTTTTGAGCCAGTTTTCAAGGGGAATGCTTCCAGCTTTTGTCCATTCAGTATGATAGGGGCTCTGGGTTTGTCATATATGGCTCTTATTATTTTGAGGTATGTTCCTTCAATATCTAGTTTATTGACAGTTTTTAACACGAAAGGATGTTGATTTTATCAAAGACCTTTTCTGCATCTATTGAGATAATTACATGGTTTTTGTCTTTAGTTCTGTTTATGTGATGAATTACATTTATTGATTTGCGTATGTTGAATCAACCTTGCATCCCGGTATAAAGCCAACTTTATCATGGTGGATAAACATTTTGATGTGCTAAGCAACCATTTTTTGACTTGAAGGTTTATTTTAGAGAAATTCATATCTTTTGGTAGCAAAGGAAATGTATTTCATCACCAATACACATCTGACTGCCCATTGTTGGTAGGGCACTGAAGTGCCATGAGATTATTTCTAGAGACAATTAAACTCAATGTACAACTTATAATTTTTTTAGAAATATAAATTGTCACTTACCATGCTACCAGGGTCTCTATCAGCTCGATCTAGTTCAAAAGAATTTATTTTATTGGCACTCATTTCATCAGTGTCAGCAATGACATAATGTCTAGGTGAGTAGGCATTGGACAAGCTCCCAAGCAGCCTCAGAATCTCCGTGGTATGCCCACCTGCAAAAAACATCAGAAGTCCTAGATTAAGAAACTCACAATGGACATATCCATTTGACCATGTTATACCAATGTCATGGTTTCAGGTGGAGGTGGGGCACTGTAATTGCATATTTCTCAAAAGACACAAGGCACCTTTGAAAACAATAAATCTATGCCTTTGTATAAATACAGCTTTTTTTTTTTTTTTTTTTGAGACAGAGTCTCGTTCCGTCACCAGGCACCAGGCTGGAGTGCAGCGGCGTGACCTCAGCTCACTGCAACCTCCACCTCCCGGGTTCAAGCAATTCTCCTGCCTCAGCCTCCCGAGTAGCTGGACTACAGGCGTGTACCACAATGCTCAGCTAATTTTTTTATTTTTAATAGAGATGGGGTTTCACCACGTTGGCCAGGATGGTCTCGATTTCTTGACCTTGTGATCCACCTGCCTCGGACTTCCAAAGTGCTGGGATTACAGGCTTGAGCCACTGCGCCCGGCCATAAATACAACTTTTATATGAAAAGAAGGTAATACTCGGGGAGTTCTCATATTGTATTCTTCAGTTCCGTTAATTCACTTATATTCCTCTCTAGATTATCTATTCTTGTTAGGATTTCGTCAAACCTTTTTTCACGGTTCTTAGTCTCTTTACATTGGGCTAGAACATGTTCTTTTAACTCACAGAAGTTTCTTATTATCCACCTTCTGAAGCCTAAATCTGTTCATGGAGGTTGCAGTGAGCCAGGATGATGCTACTGCATTCCAGCCTGGTTGACAGAGCAAGACTGTTTCAAAAAAAAAAAAGAAAAGAAAAGAAAAATAAAGTGGTGGCACTCCAAGTAGGTACTTGTTTTCACAGCTGGAATAATTAAGGAGAAAACCTAATATCTACAACATCTTCTACACAATTAAAACTTCATTATACCTGCTTTAATTGTCCTTTTGATTCCTTTTTTTTTGTTTTTGTTTTTTTTTTAAGGAAACCCTCACTGAATACTGTTAAAGTTGTCGGAATCAAAATAGAGTTACTTGTGACAAAATGGAGCTGGGAAAGGCCAGGAAGGGTTCTGAATGCTCAATCACCTGAAAACAGGAACTATCACAAAAGACTATACCAAAACCACAACCTTGCACAAAGGCCACTGCAACCTTATGGAAAACAAACAAACAAACAACTTTCACAAGGACATCTGCCCAGCAACTGCCTGTTTAACCTTGGACTAATGTCACCCTTATTGTTGATCCCTGTAAGCAAGGATAATTGTTTCAAAATAACTTATGTAACTCTCCCCGTTTTACCTTTAAAAACCGCTGTCTTCCCTTGCCTCTTTGAATGTGCCCATAGTTTACTTGGTATGTGTATTCCACACTACAATGCTTACTCTTGATAAACTTACTGTCTTTGGAGAATCTCTCTGTTATTTAGGTTGACAACATATTCACTGAAAAGTTAACCTTGTTACTCAATAAAGTCATTAAAATGATAGACTTTGTCTTCCATTTTACTCTTGTATTAAAATACATTTCTTGAGAATAAGATCCTCTAAGTTCTACCTTAAAATATATCCAGCATCCAATTACTTCTCACCATTTCTTTTTGTTACCCTCCCTGCTCCAAGCCACTATTATCTCTCACTTAGATTAAGAACACAGCTTCCTGATCTGTTCCCTGACCACTTCTTCAGTCTGTCTCAACACAACATCCAGTGTGATCCTATTTGAGTTGATTGAATTATTTACATCTGCTCAAAATCCTCCAATGGCTTTATGTCTCCTGTGGAATAAAAGGCTTCTTGTACTCTGACCCCAACTATGTTCCCTCTTGGAGCTCATCTCCTGTTCCTCCCCCTTACTCAGTCCACTCTAATCACTCTAGTCTCCTTGCTGTTGGCTGTCATCTCCCCAAGGAGGCTTTCCCTGACAATCTTTATCAAAAGCAATGTCCCTTCCCCAAATCATAGGGTTCATCACTGCATAACTTACTATGTAGTCTATTTATTTGTTTTGCTTTTTATCTCTCTCTATCCATGCCTCACTAGCGGACAAGCACAGTACCTTGAGGGCAGGGATTTGGGTTTGTTTTCTTACTGCTGTACCTTCTGTTCCTAGAAATAGCAGACCCTCCTATGGTTGAATTAAAGAATGAATGAAAGTGTGATATTAAATCTAAAATTTGCCTAAGAAGATCGTATTGTGTTTCAAAAAAAAAAATAGTTTTGACAAATATTCTCTGAACAGAAGTGGTCTACTAATAATTTTTTTTGGTTTTTGCTCTGTTGCCCAGGCTGGAGTGCAATGGCACGATCTCGGCTCACTGCAACCTCTGCCTCTCGGTTTCAAGCAATTCTCCTGCCTCAGCCTCCTGAGTAGCTGGGTTTACAGGTGCCCATCACCAAGCCCAGCTAAGTTTTTTGTATTTCTTAGTAGAGACAAGGTTTCACTATGTTGGCCAGGCTGGTCTTGAACTCCTGACCTCAAGTGATCCATCTGCCTCAGCCTCCCAAAGTGCTGGGATTACAAGCATGAGCCACCACACCTGGCCTACTAATAATATTGTATGCTATCTAAAGAATAAATGTTGCTTGGTTTTCAAGGTAAATAATGAAAACGTCTTCTGCCTCCAACATTTTGGGCATGAACTATTAAACTGCTTATCTGACTTCAAGTCTTTCTTTGACTGGCATGATTCTTTCAGGCCCTTGATACCTTCCTACCCTCAATAATTTGAATGAAGGCACCATTTGCCAGATGAATTCTCAATCTTAATTTTAGTTTCTACTCCACCACTATCATGTAACACTATCAAGTGAATGGTTCTAACAGCCATCCATTTGTTCAGCAGGAAACCTAAAAGTCACCCTTCAGTCCTTCCCTCCCACATCCTCTACTTTTAATCCACAGTTGCAGATTTAACTCCTAAAATCTCCTAATCTCATCTGAATGCATTTGCTTCTCCCATCCCCATACCTATCACATCTTTATCTGTTATCTGAAATATTCAAAAGGCGCCTATTTGTTTCTCTACTTCACTCTTTGTTAAGACATTCTTTTCACAACACTGGCTGAATGATCTTTGTGAATGGTCAGACTGAAGTGGGCGACTCTCCACTGAAAAAGATAAGCCAGGTGCCTGTGGTCCTAGCTACTCAGTGGCTGTCTCAGAATCGCTTGAGCCCAGGAGTTTGAGGCAAGCTTGGGCACGTAACAAGACTCTGTTTTAAAAACAAAAAAAGAAAACTTCAAAAGCTCCTTTTGCTATAAAGACTAATAACAGTCACCATTTATTAAGTGCTTATATAAAAAGAAAAGAAAATGTCAAGACCTTTCAAACTTATTACGCCAAGTAGAAAAGCTGAGCCTTGGAAACTGACTCATATAACATGGCTTTTTCTCTTTGGTGTCGGACTCGTGCTTCCTGACCTTGGTGCTGAGATGTTATACATTAACCCAACTCCCTAGTCTTTATTCAAACCTACACTAAATGACATTGGAGATAGAGGCGCTTGTGATTGTTACCTCTTTATACCAGAATGTTAAACAAACCCCTTAGTGCGTAATCAATAGTAGCATTGGGACTTGGAAAATAATATCCCAAAATGAAGGCCTTAGAAGTAAAAACTTTTCTCTGGCCTTCCGTCCTCTGTCTCTCAGTCCCCTGTCTCTCATTCCCATTCTCCCCTGAGCCTTGCCACAGAAACTAGAATCTCTCTTCCCCAGGGCTGGTCACAGAAACCAAGAATTCCTTCTCCCAAAAGCTAGTCACAGAACCTAAAAATACCACTCTAATTTTACCTCACCTTCCTGTGTAAAACCTGGCCATTATCTGAGCTGGGAAAGGTGGCTCACGCCTTAATCTCAGCACTTTGGGAGGCAGGAGAATTGCTTGAGACCAGGAGTTCACGACAAGTCTGGCACACATAGCAAGACACCATCTCTATTTTAAAAATTAATTAATTAAAAAATGTTTAAACATAAATTACCTGATCTACCTTGCTTCACAGTAGGTCACAAGCTGCTCATTCCAGAGAGCATCCTGCTCCATACCCAGAAAGAAAGGAAGGTATGCTCAGAGACCAAGAAAAATCTAGCCAGACAGGCCTTGCTGGGCTTCCCCAGTCTATCAGCATTAAATCATACCCTTCTGTCCGATCATAATTCTACATGGCTGTCCATACTTTGCCGAACCTAACCATAAAAACCAGATCGTGTTCCTTGTATCTTTGGGTGTTCATTCCTATCGCTTTCATATATGCTTAATAAATTTGTATGCCTTTTTTCTATTATTTCTGTTCCTTGTCAGTGATTTTCAGTGAACCTTCAGAGGGCAAAGTGGAAGTTTTCCCTTGCCCCTTACAGTAGCCAACCAAATCTTGTATCTGTATGTTAGTTAGCCTTTGTAAGGAAAATGTTGTAATTTTGTTCAGCATCTCTGTTCTTGCCTATATCAACTATCTTCATTTTTTTCCCACATGGGGAGCACTGACCGCCATTCTTTAGTATGGGTTTGCTTCCCTGACAGCCACTCTCACACTCTGCTTGAATAAACTCTTTTAACTGGATATTGGACCCTTTGATATTTTAGGTTGACACTCTATGTCAAGCATTTTACTAAACACTATTTAAGCTTTTGATTATATTTTATTTCACTTTGAGACAAGGTCTCACTCTGTCAACCAGGCTGGAGTACAGTGGTACAATCTCGGCCCACTGCAACTTCTACCTCCCAGGCTCAAGTGCTCCTGTTTCAGCCTCCCAAGTAGCTGGGACTACAAGTGTATGCTACCACGTCCAGCTAATTTATTTATTCATTTATTTTTGGATTTCACTATGTTGCCCACTGGTCTCCAACACCTGAGCTCAAGCAATCCGCCTGCCTCCCAAGATGCTGAGATTACAGGTGTGAACCACCATGTCCGGCCTAAACACTTTAAATGCGATCATATTTAATCTCTCCTGGCCTCTCTCAACCCATGTAGAAACAGAAGGCTCAGTGAGGTTAACTAATTGCCTAAGATCACCAAGGTAGTAAGTGGCAGAGACATGATTCATCTATAGCGTTATGACAACCTAGAGGCCTGTGGTCTTAACCCCTACATGATATGAAACTGTGGAGTAGCAGCAATTGCTTTATAAAGCAGGATTTTAGGCCAGGAGTGGTGGCTCACGCCTGTAATCCCAGCAATTTGGGAGGCTGAGGCAGGAGAATCACTTAAGGTCAGGAGTTTGAGACCAGCCTGGCCAACATGGTGAAACACCATCTCTACTAAAAATACAAAAATTAGCTGGGTTTAGTGGTGCATGCCTGTAACCCCAGCTACTCAGGAGGCTGAAGCAGGAGAATGGCTTGAACCCTGGAGGCGGAGTTGCAGTGAGCCGAGATCACACCACTGTACTCCATCCAGCCTGGGCAAAAGTGAGATTCTGTATCAAAAAAAAAAAAAAAAAAAGGCAGGATTTTAAACACCCTTTACAATCTGGACTCAGTTTACCTCCCCGCATTGAACTCTACACAATAGTGTTCTCTCACCTGTGGCCATTCCAAGTGCTAACACCTTCTTTTCACACCCTCCCAGTCCTCAAAAGCCAGGCTTTCCCTCATCTGACTAATTCTTGGTCATCTTTCAAGTCTCAGTTTAGCACCATTGCTTCCAGGAAGCTGCCTGTTTTAAAACCTGATAAAGCAGTGCCCTTCCTGAAGACTGCCATAGCAATTTGTACTTCTTACACAATTATTACAAGATTATGGCACTTATCTCATTGTGGCAAATACTCAATTTGATTTATTTTCTGTTAGTTTTTTTGTATTCTCTATTTCATTCGCCGCTGTATCTTTGCATCTTTCACAGGACTTAGCACGGAGTCAGCAAGTAACGTTAGTCAGTTTTCTTATTTCCAGAGCTTAGTTTAGTGTTTGGCCTAACAGCTCCAAAGAGATTAAGTGAATAAAGTAATGAATTACACCTGAATATAAACTTAGTACATCTGCTCACACTATACATGTTCTATCTGGATGCAATCTCCTGCCATCCCCAAATGTTTACATTGTGTCTGTCTGTCTGTCCCTGTCAAAACTATTTAAAATTGTAAGCATCTACAGAGTTGGTGGGTTTAGATTGTATTACCTGACAGGTCAGCGTGTTGCTCACACTGCCCCGCTGTGTGTATGGTTCTACAGTCCGTAGATCATTGTTTTCATTCTCGTGCACTCTGTATATTTATAAATGTGACAATTCACGCTGCCTCATTTATCATGTAGCATTCGTGTTTCCTAAACTAAATACACAATACCTAGATTAATAATGCACAACAGCCATACAGGGAAACTGCATGTTAGAATCAAAGGCTTCTACGTTCTCTTTGTTCGCTAATTATTTGTTATAAAAACATACACCACAGAGAGTCTTAATTACAGACAAGTGTACATTACTTGTCATAAAAAGATTCCTGGGCCGCGTCAGCAAACCAGCCCTTACCCTGGCTGAACTGACCGGTTCCGGCAGGGCAGAGAAACGACAAATCTCTGCATGCAACACTCCAACAAGTGCTAAGGGGACCAGGGAGGAGCGTCGCGGTGCCCTCGAGGGTTTGTAGTGACCAACCCAAGTCCGACCCGTCGCCTCCCCGATACTTACCGGACCCAGCCACTACCAAGATACTGAGAGACTCCCGGGGCGTAACGTCCCGGGAATGAAGCACTACCCATAGTCGCAGGATTAGGAAGACCGCCACAGCTCCTGCAGCCGCGGCTAGAACCACACACACCATGCAGAGAAACGGCGCATGCGTCCCACTCCCGGGAGCCAGCCGCGGTCAAAGGTCACAACTACGGGTGCCGAAGCGACTCAAACGCGGAAGGACGCGCCTCCCGGGGGGGCTGGGCTTGCCTGAGCTGGGAGGAGTCGGAGGCCGAGGATGGATCCCGGGTCCTGCTGACGATTCCTTTCACCTCATTCATCTTGTAGCATTCCTGTTGCCTAACGTACGCAATACCGGCCGGTCGCGGTGGCTCACGGCTGTAATCCTAGCACTCGGGAGGCCGAGGCAGGCGGATCACAAGGTCAAGAGATCGAGACCATCTTGGCCAATAGGGGGAAACCCAGTCTCTGCTACAAGTGCAAAACTTAGCTGGGTGTGGTGGCGCGCGCCTGTTGTCCCAGCTACTCGGGAGGCTGAGGCAGGAGAAGCGCTCGAACCCTGGAGGCGGAGGTTGCGGTGAGCCGAGATCGCGCCACTGCACTCCAGCGGGGCAGCAGAGTGAGACTTAATGCACAACAGCGGTGCAAGGAAACTGCATGTTAGCATTAAAAGGCTCTAAGTTCTCTACGTTCACGTTTGTCAGCGGAACCGCGGATTCTGCGGGGCTGCAGCCCAGCGTGAGCTCACATTAGGGAAGTTAAGCGCTGGGGAAGCTCGCTGTACGCCCACGACGAGGTCAGGCCGTCTGTGCCCCCTAAAGGCCCCGGAACCCCCCAGTTAGGAGATGTTCCGGCTCTAGCAACTTCGTCAGTTCCACCTGAAGCTAAGGGAACACATCCTTTCTTCTTTTTTTTTAGTGCCAAGAGAAATGTTTCTGCTGCACACACAGACATTACTGAAAGTGTTCGCCAGTAAGGACCCTAGGCTTAAACATCGAATTTAGGGCCCTAACCCCCTATCTTCCAACATGTGTGTTTTTAACTTTTCTAGGTGTTTTCACAGCTCTCAGTTGTGACCAGAGTGGTTGAGGGTGACCACCTCAAGGCAAGCCACACTCCTGGGAGGTGTGGAAAGCTCAGGGGCTCTAGGTAGCAGGATAGAAAAGGACAATGAACATTCCGTTAACTTTACCACAAAGCATTCCCAGTGTGTTTCTCATGTCCTCAGCCAAAATGATGATCTGCCAACACCCCCTGCAATCCCAATTTTGCTTATTATGTCTAATTAATTCACATTACAACAACATAAAATACTAAGATCAGGACCCCCTTCACCCCTAATATTGCCTTCAGTCCACCATAGACCTACCTGTAGGTTTTGTTGGACAGGTATCCAGATGAGTAAACAGTTCAGAAAGGTGCAACTGCTTGCCCAAGTGGAATAGCGTCAGATCTTGAATCAGAAACCAAAAATCTAAGTCCTGCTGCATAGGAGTACAGCATCCTGTATTCCTTTGATAAATTCAAACTTGACTGATCACCACGCATACCTGGAGCCTAAAATGTGTTTTTAAAAGCTTAGACACCCAGGGTCTATTAAGAAGCACTGAATCAGAATTTCCAGGGATCGGGCACCTGGGATTGGCTTATGTAACCAGCGTGTCCATTCCTATCAGCAGGCGGGCTTGGGAGACTTTGTAAGTAGAGTTCATGGACCTCACAACACTTTCCAAATTTTCTTCTATCAAATCTTAGCCTTACATTCTCACAATAAGACCATAAAGTGGATATTATTTCCCTTTTTGCAGATAAAGAAGTGGATTCCATAAAAGTTAAATAATTTGCCTACAGCTGTTTAGCTAGTAAGGGTGAAGAAAGTTCATAGTCATGGACTTAGAAGTCAGTGTCCCTTAAATTTTAACGGAATCAAAATCCTATGGGCTTACAAATGTATAGTATCAAATACTGTGTATAGTATAGTACCTTTGTATAGTACAGTATAGTATTTGTGTACTTACAAATATATAGTATAGTACCTTTGGTGTAGTATAAAAACAGCTCAAGGACAATACAAAGAATATTATTTTTTTTATGCCCATTCTGCCATTCCTAATAATGGCTTCAGCCTGAGACAGTCTCACCTCATACTTAAAAGAAGACATTAGTGGTCCCAGAAATTACATCCGACAGGGCAATCTCCATAGCCAAAAAAGAGATTATCTTGTCATTGGGTCTTCCTCCACCCCACCCCTCCCCAAGATGGAGTCTTGTTCTGTCACCCAGGCTGGAGTGCAGTGGCACTATCTCGGCTGACTGCAACCTCCGCCCCTCAGGTTTAAGCAATTCTCCTGCCTCAGCCTCCCAAGTAGCTGGGATTACAGGCACACACTACCACACCTGGCTAATTTTTGTATTTTTAGTAGAGACAGGGTTTCACCATGTTGGCCAGGCTGGTCTTGAACCTGACCTCATGATCCACCTGCTTCAGTCTCCCAAAGTGCTGGGATCACAGGTGTGTGAGCCGCCCTGTCCCACCCCCCTTTTTTTAAAGTCAAGGAAACCTATTCCAGAATCACTCACAGCAGACTTTCTTTCACTCCCTTTGGCCATATTTATATCGCTTTCCCAGGCATAAAAGGAAAGAGACCTCAAAGCTGGGGGAGGTGGGAGGAGGATGACTTACAACTCACCTGTAATACTGGGCTGTTGGATGGAGGGTGGTACTGAACAAAATAGGCATTGTCTCAGTGAGGAGGAAGCTGCAGGGAGGACTGTTGGGTAGGCAAACAATAGCATCTAGATTACTGTGATGATACTGTGTCTGAAACATCTTTGTAAACTGACGCATGCAATGAAAACGTCAGGCATGGCTGGGCGTGGTGGCTCATGCCTGTAATCCCAGCACTTTGGGAGGCCGAGGTGGGCGGATCACAAGGTCAAGAGATCAAGACCGTCCTGGCCAACACGGTGAAACCCCGTCTCTACTAAAAATACAAAAATTCCAGGCGTTGTGGCACGTGCCTGTGGTCCCAGCTACTCAGGAGGCTGAGGTTGAAGAATCGCTTGAACCCAGGAGGTGGAGGTTGCAGTGAGCCAAGATTGCTGCAGCCAGGCAACAGAGCAAGACTCTCAAGAAAAAAAAAATAAGGAAATGTCAGGCATATGATAATTACTTAGCTCCAGACCCCAGGATCTATATTACGGTAGATTTAATACTTAGAGGACACCCTTGCTTTTCCCATTACTTCATCCCCTCACTATTATAATTGTCTGTATCTGTAGGAAATATCAGTTTGACCACACTTGGCGTGTAGCTGGAATGAATGGAGGCAATCAAGCATTGGAGGCTTGCCAGGAAATGCAGAGAATCAAAGAGCGTGGGATAGCAGACATTGTTTGGAGTTATTGGTTGAGTTATTCTGAATTAAGGTGATCATCAAACTCTTCAATTTTCCTGTTAAGGAAGTTGAGAACTGCATGGAACAGCTAGGTAGCAGGAAGGGACAGAAAAAAAGCTGAGAATTCCTGATAAAAATGTCCCCTGGTTAAGCCAAGTCCTGAGCTGTGACAGACACAGAATGTATAGATGATCAAGGGGTCCAGAATCTGTAGTAGGCCAGGCATGGTGGCTTATGCCTGCAATCTCAGCAATTTGGGAGGCCAGGGCAGGAGGATCACTCAAACCTCGGAGTTTGAGACCATCCAAGGCAACAGAGTGAGATCCTATCTCTATAAAAAATGAAGAAATTAACCAGACATGATGGTGGCGCATGCCTGTAGTCTCAGCTACTTAGGAGGCTGGGGTGGGAGGATTGCTTAAACACAAGAGGTCAGGGCTGCAGTGAGCCATCTTTGTGCTACTGCACTCCAGCCTGGGTGACAGAAACCCTGTCTCAAAGGAAAAAAAAAAAAAAAAAAAGCTGTAGCAGATTAATCGGGAAAGTTAAGACTGAGCCAGAAGAAGCAACAATTAAAATTTCTCTTGGGAAGGTCAGTTGTGCTGACAATGCATTTAACAGATTCATGGAAGCAAATTATAGTGTTGCAAAAAGTGTGACAACTGTTTAATAGTTGACAAAATGCATAATGATATGTGGTCTGTAACCAGTCATGTATGTCTGGGAGATTTTTTTTTTTTTTTTTTGAGACAGGGTCTCGTTCTGTCACCCAGGCTGGCACGCAGTGGCGTGCTCTCAGCTCGCTGCAGCCTCAACCTCCCCGGGCTCAGGAGATTCTCTCACCTCAGCGTCCCGAGTAACTGGGACTCAGATGTACACCACTATGCCCGATTAATTTTTGTATTTTTTGTAGAGTTGGGGTTTTGCCACGTTGCCCAGGCTGATCTTGGACTCCTGGACTCAAGCAATCCACCCACCTCAGCTCCCAAAGTGCTGGGATTACAGGTGTGAGCCATCTTGCCCAGCCTGGGAAGTGATTGGTATGCTCTTCTTAAATCTATTTCCTAAAGTTTCTACAGCAAATATTACTCATGCATATTTTGAAAGTTATTTTAGAGGATCAGATAATTTTGCACTCTTCCGTAGGACTGTACATGTTAATTTATTCAACATATTTAATGAGCATCCGCTATGTGTCAGACACTGTTTTAGGTGCAGGGGATGTCATATAAATAAGACAGTAATCCAGCCAAAAACTTTAGACTAGGGAGATAACAGTGGAGGTACCAGAGGGCAGATTTGATATACGTTTTATGGGTAGAGTCAGTAAAACCTGTTAAAGGATTAGATATTGGGGATTAAAAACAAGGAGGAATCCAGATGCCTCCTAGGTCCTAGATATTTGGCTTCAAAACCAGTTAGGTGGTATTATATTCTAAAAACAGACAGACTGAAGGAGAAACAAGCTTTTGTGGGCAGGGGAAGGGGAGGGAAGGATGAATACGAAGTGTTCTGTTTTTGACTTTAGTTTGAATAACCTGCTAGACATCCAAGTGGTGATGGCAGACAGGCAGTTTTATGTACAGACCTGAAGCCTGGGTCAGATCTAGTGGCATAAGTTTAGAATTCATTGGCATATAGATGGTATTTAAAGGTATAGGACGGGGAGAGATCACTAAAGGAGAGTTTAGGTCAGTCCTGTCAAATAGAACTTTCTACAAGGATAAAAATGTTTTGTGTCTGTGTTGTATGCTAGCCACATGTAACTTTTAAGCAA